TTATGACACTGAACTTGGGGATATCATGCCATGCTGGCCATTGCTCTGGTTCATAGATGTTAGAGCTGGGCCGAATTATTGGTTACTTCTCTCCACATGGGGCTTTAGTAGTATGAAAGCCAGACCTCAAGGAGAGGCTTTCAGGTTAGACCCAGCATGGATCCCTGAGTGCTGTATCTGAAGTGCCTGATATCTTCATCAATAGGGATTCACCTTCAACCTCTGGGAGCCAATCAAGGACAACAGCAACAGCCTATTCCATTTGACGAGTCTCTTTACTCCATTCTCCTTCATACTGTTCATATCCTGTCATTTCCCTATCAAACACTCCCCAGCCTCTGGTCATTTACTTCTTGATTTCTGATGTTACCGTAGGTTGTATACTCACATCGAAGGGTTTAGAGTTGGGAGCTAACTGATGAAAGAGAACATGCAGCATTTATATTTCTCAATATAGATTACTACACTCAGTGTAATTTTTCTTGTTCCACCTATTTACCTGCACATTTCATATTTCTTCATACAGCTTCAATACCTGCATTCATTATATTATTGTTCAAGTATAATTCAGAGAGAGAGATTCGGCCATAATTTTCTCCAAGACAGAGAAAATCAAATGACACTGCACAAAAACAAAATCTTGACACTGAGAAAGACTTTCTACCTATTCTTTCTAGATATTAATATTCTCACTGTGAATTATGGTCTAGAATAGAGCACAGACTTGGGAAAAAATGCTCAGTTTTCATGTGCATTTAGCTCTTCTCCTTGTTATTCCCCTTGTCATCTCCAGGGCCACATTGCTTCTCTCATTTGGGGCAATTATTTGTGAGGTGGAGATCAGAAAGTGTTTTATGATACACAACTTGCTTCTTAAGCTCATAAAGTTCATCACACACTGCTTTCTGTTGGATTTGTTTGTATAAACACTTCTTTATTACCATTTAAGAATCTGCTTTCTCATAAACATACTAAAATCGGTACACCTAACGAAGCTAAACAAGGAGAAGGACCCAGGGTAAGAAGATCAATCCTTACTTAGAAAGACAAATAGGATGGACATTGGATGTAAGAGGAAAACAAGAAGCAGGATAGGAGCCTACCATAGAGGGCCTCTGAAAGACTCTACATAGCAGTGTATCAAAGCAGATGCTGAGACTCATAACCAAAATTTGGGCAGAGTGCAGGGGATCATAAGAAAGAAGAGAGAGTTATTAATACCTGGAGCGAACAGGAGCTCCACCAAATATATCTGGGCACAGGGGTTTGTCTGAGACTGATTCTCCAACCAGGTACCATGCATAGATATAACCTAGAACCACTGCTCGGACGTAGCCCATGGCAGCTCAGTATCCAAGTGGCTTCCTTAGTAAGGGGAACAGGGACTGTCTCTGGCATGAACTTTATGGCTAGATTTTTTACCTCCCCAAACCTCCATGGGAGGAACAGCCTAGCTAGGCCACAGACGAGGACATTGCAGCCAGCCCTGGTGGGACCTGATAAGCTAGGTTCAGATAGAAGGGGAGGAGGACCTCCCCTGTAAGTGGACTTGGAGAGGGGTAAAGAGGAGATGAGAGAGGGAGGGTGAGGTTGGGAGGGAATAAGAGAGGGAGCTGCAGCTGGGACACAAAATAAATAAACTGTAATTAATATAAAAAATATAAAAATATAAAAAATAAAGTAAAAAAAAGAATCTGCTTTCAATTACACTTTTATTGAGATCCCAAACTTGACTCCTGTCCACATTGGAACACTCTCTTCTCCATAGCCAGATTCCTTGCTTTGATCAGACATGCTAAAGTTGTGCCTCTCATTTACAGCTACTGTGATTTTAAAACATGTTTCATTTTTTATATCCTCATTATACTCTGTCATGGGTTATATCTATTAAACAGTTCCTTCATTCTTAAAAATTGTACTTTTAAAAAACTGATCTGGATATGAAAATATATTTTTATAATGTAAAATCTATAGCCGAAGTTGGTAAAATAAGAGTCAAAGGGCAATAAAATAAATTCTGTCATTTATTAGTCATAGATTCATTACAAAGTTGACTTATAATTAGAAATAGTTTCAATCACAAATAAATCATAGCATTTAAAATGCAAGTAGTAAATTGTGCTTGACATTTGTTGATATTCTGTGTAAGAATTAAAACTAAATGCTTATGTTCATCTAACAAAATGCAGATTTAAAGGATACTTAAAAACATAACTATGCCATATATTTGTATTTTAAGAACTAAATCTATTAGGTTTGTTCATAAATAATCAAAACCAGAAAAGTTGTGTGGATAGGGGTTGAGAGGAAAGAGGGTTGATGTGGGAGGAGTTGGGGGTGTTGGTGAATATGATCAAAATACATTGTATAAAATTTTCAGATAGTTAATATAATTAAAGAGAAAATCTTCAAATATAATTAAAAATCAACATTAGATTCAAATTGTCATGTGAAGTTAGGTTCAAGACTGTTGTTTCCATATTTGATCCTTTTGAACAGAGATTATTCAATAGTCTCATTTATATACCTGAATAAAGGAAGCAATCAATTACCCTAGATTACAATAATACTAATCCAGCTAGAAGTATATTACAAAATTAGTGCAAATAAAGAGGATTCTGGTTCCAAGCCAGGGGGATAAATATCTACTGTTGGAAATCATTTGCACCACATGAAAGTGCTCATCACATTCAGAAAAAGACGGTTTTGTCACTTTGTCTTGTAAAATATTAGATGGTTTGCTCAAGATACAAAGTCAAACCAGAAAAGTCAGAGCACGCACTCAAATAATGAAATTTCAGGTCTCTTAAATATCAGAAAAAAATATGTTCTATATATAACTCAAATAAATATTAGAAATTTCAACATACAGTTGCAAAAATGTGGCAATTCCTCCGATACCACCATTCATAATATAAGTCCAAACAAGTCCAAACAATAGGATATAAATTCTGTACTCCAAGCTGAGACCTGGTTACATTGAAATTATCTCAAAGGCTGTGATATATGTGGCTGTTCTTTGTGCACAAAATACACTGTGTTGAACGTGAGTATTTCCTCCTCCATGCATCACAGGATACAGCACTTAAACAGTGCAACGTAATGCCTGTTAGCTAATTTTGTCTATTTATTCAACTTCCAAAATAATTGCATTGTTTACTCAACTCCTGGTAGAGTATACAATCAATTCTAATGTTAAGTTTGCTATTCTAAAATAAGACGGATGCCGACAATCAGGGATATGGATTCTGGAATGTAAAAGGCACTCCTTTGAAGAGAAAGCTTTTCTAAATTCTATTGTTGCATTGCTGTTATGAAAACACTCCAGCGGATACTAGTGCTTTGCTGGATAATAAACAAAATTGATTAGCAATAAAAATTATAACACAGATTCTTTGATTTCATGATCAAAATAAGGCACAGAACAAAAGCAAAAAAGAAAAAGAAAGAAACATCCTTGTTACAAAAATTACAGACAGTACACATGTCAGACATGGATTATGCAAAATGGCTTATTGGGATAGAATGTGTGAGAGAAATAGCAATGGGCTATCTATAGGCAAAACAGGTGTGTGTCTATGACAGGTACTTAATTCTGGGAAGAATAGAGTGGAAAGGAAACAAACTTGAGTGAACATGTCTTTAATCTAGAAAGGGATGAATCCTTGTTAGTATTTGCATTCAAGTTATACACACTAAGAATATTAATATCTCTCTATTAGTAGATACAAAAGACTCTCACCAGGCTACTCTAACACACAAAACTGGCCTACGGTGAACAATATTGTGACCAAAACAGAACTTACATATTGAGGAAAGTCATTTGTTCTTGATTTGATTGTATATGTTTCTTTCTACATAAAATCTGCATCTTTTATCCAAAGTAAAAAGATGGCTAGGTTGCGATAACATGCTGGGCTAATGCTAATGGGACCCACACTCAACTCAGAAGGTTGGCGGACTATCTGGTCTAGCTTCTGAATTCTTGGGTCGAGAAAACCAAGCCATCATACAGACGAGGTAGCTTTCTCAAGGTTAGCCTGTGTCCTGGTGTAGGTCTCAGGGCATATGCCACTGTGCCTTGTTCAACATGGATACTGAGCATTCTACAAAGGTTTTGAGGGGATTGTTGAATGGACAATGAACAAGAATAAGACGATGTCAAAGTAAGCTATAGCAAAATTCCAGGGACAGTGTTCCCTGTAGTTTAGGAAAACTCACTGTTTTTGTTGTTGGTGGTGATATTTTGTTTTTTTAATGAAAGTCACTCAAAGAAGTTTGAAGAATACTGCTCAAAGAAACAATGCCAGGTACCAGAAGAGATTAATAGATCACATAGAGTGTTAAAGTAGCTGTAGTTCTTTTGAATGCTATAATTTGTCATTGGTATTGATTCTCAGTGAGTTTAGCATTGTTTACGAGACACTTTGACAACATCACCATGGATGCTAATTATTTGATCATCCCTAGACATAATATTACTCACTATTGACACTATGGTTTCAGTAGTGTCAATGAGCAGGTCCCATAATCTGTGAACATTCACTAGCAAATATGTTTAAACAGAATTGAGGCTCATTCTAAAAGCACCTTTCAGATAACAAAAACAAGCAGAAGAGGAAATAAAAGCAACAGATTGATAATTTGACCAGAAATGATGTGCTGTTAAACTGACTATCAGGAGAAAAGTACATTTTGGTCTTGAAAAGCAACATAGGTAATTAGAAAACGTAATTCAAAGCATCAAACAACGAGGGAAAGCCAGCTGCAGATATGGATATGTAAACAAGTCAGATATGAGTAAAAATAAGAGCAGATACCTATCAGCATGGTTTTTTTACAATTTTAAAAATTTTACAAATTTAAGTGTGGCACCTAGAGGAACAGTGGCAGTGGCAGGAGGCAGGCAAAAGATGCTGAGTTCTGGATGGTCAAGTCCATGTGCAAGAGGTCTCTGTGGACAGAGGTCCTGGCAGTACTCCATGATAGAAGAAGGACCACTAAGGCTGCTTGGGGACCCAGGTAAACTTCCAGCCTCCCTCTTGGTCTCGACGCACAAAGGCTTGTCCCTGGTGGAAAGAGTGAGTTTTCACATTGCAATGAGGGCTCAGAGATGTGGAGAAGGCCACCTCTGTCTTGTTGGGTGACACATCTGCAGTGTGGTAAGGTAGAGTTTGCACCCCCACTGGAGGACTAGAAAGCCTAGGGAAACAGTGACAGTCTTGCTGGAGCATGGGGGTGGTGTGCGAGGCATGTGTTCTCTCACCTCCGTAGTCGAGGCATAGATCTCTGGGGACAGTTGCATAGCCAACTCTATTATGAAGAAACTGGGAGGACATACTGGGGAATGTTTTGGGATGAGAGGTGACGGCACTGTAGTTAGCTGGTAGGGTGTCATCAATGGTGTTGAGGTCTTTCAACCCAAGGATTTGAAGAACCCAGGGGTCCACACAGGGCCCAGGCTGTTCTTCACACTTAGAAAACTCTGTGGAGAGGTTTCTCTTGGCTGTCTTGGACTGGGGAATCTCAGCAGGGTGTTGCCTGTGTTCTTTGGGTTTCCTCTTCTCCTTTCTGAGTCTTCCATACGCTTTGGAAAACTCATCTGATGACAGCAATTTCTGGAAAAGCAATATTTGAAAACTGTACTTCTTTTGAATATTATTTACCCAATTGCTTAGGAAAAAATGCCTAAATTTCTTTTATGTTCCCACACAAGTAAAACTAACTTATTAGCTACTATTTGTTGAGTAAATATCCTTAATAAATTATTACTTTATTTCTCATTCTTTACTCAGTCTTTAAAAGTTGAAGAAAGCAGATGACATTTGTAAGATTCCAACTAAGAGAAGTAAAAGCTGATGCCAATATCCACTGTAACTTATTAAAAGTATTTATAAATTAATAAAATAGAACCATTATTTATAAACCATTGATTGCATGTTTTTTTTCTCATTGGATGCAGATGCCTTTAAAATCATTAATAAATAAAGACAAGCATAAGATTGACTGGCGGAGTACTGCTTAGCCTAGATTTAAATCTCATTCAACTGAATCTAGACAGAACTTCTGATTTAAATACTATTCACCCCCTCCTACTTTTATTATATTAACTTTCAAAACACCCCCATATGATATATTAGTCTAAATTTGGAGACATGATATCAAGAGAGTTAAAATACCTAATTAAGATCACTAATAGTGGGTGTGGCCTTGTTGGAAAAAGTGTGTCACTGTCAGTGTGGCCTTTGAGGTCTCCAGCTGGGCCTAGTATGGCAATCTCTCCCTGCTGCCTGGGAAACTAGACGCAGAACTCGGAAATATTTCTCCCGCACCCTGTCTGCCTGTCTGCTGTCATGATTCCTTCCATGATGACAATGAACTAAATCAGAACTGTAAGCCATCTCCAGTTAAATGTTTTATTTTCTAAGAGTTGCCATGGTCATGGTGTCTATTCCCAGCAACAAAAGCCTAAGACAGACCCTAAGGAAGAATTTTAGCTAATGTCTGCCACATAATTGGAACTCCTATTGTCTGAGGTGATTATTCTCTTTGTGTAATTTTCACATTTGATTTCTGCTCTCCTCAGTAGTCTAATCAGTTCCTCTGATTAACTTCTGTCCCTAAACAACTCCCTTTGTGATGTCTAGCTAAAATATGAAGCTAGAAACTTCTAGGAAACAATGTAAAAATCCTGTTAAAGTCATATACTTCCTGAAGGTAAGGATCCATCCTTTTAAGCCGCATGAAGACGCCTTGTTCAGTAAACTTCATGTAATCATTCATGAGTGTTATGCAGGGATTTCCTCTGTCAACTCACTGCCTTAAACTTATAAAACAGATAATTACATACCTTGGCCTTTTCTTCCAGACATTTAACCAAAGTAGAATTCAGGTATTGTCTGAGGTGATTATTCTCTTCGTGTAGCCTAGCGAGTTCTTCCTCTTTCTGTACCAGAGTGTCCTGGAGCTGCAGGAAGCATTCAATGGTGAAGAGTGCTCCCCTCTATTGGTTTTGTAACCTAATAATAACGCATTGCTCCCCAACCTTCTTAAACTTGACTATTCTTGTTTGTTTTATGAACAGAATTTCAAAGAGCCCTAGTCCTCTGAGTCCTAAATTAAATCTACACTCCCTAGCACTGATTGTTCAGTTTTGTGCACTGCATATTCCATTCATTACCAAGTATTTAAAGAGATCAGGTGACGCTCAAAATTGTAACCACAGGGAGTCAGGTAGGTATGAAGGAAAGTGAGCTGCACGGAACTGTTTAAACATAGGGAAGATGGTTTAAAGGTTTGACTGGACTCCTTCCTTGCCTATCTATGAAAATAAAAACAAGACATGTGACCTGGCTACCCTCAGAGGTCAGTCATAGGTGTTCTTAGAGCCTTTGCTTCTGTGAGCTTGTTCATCTAATTTTTAATCTTTTTGCACACACAATTACTGTTGTGTGTCACAACAAACACCGAGTCACTGTGAATTTAAAAGGAGACAGGATATAAAGCTAAAAAGCAAGACAAAATAAAGGGAAAATCAGAGGAGAATGGGGAATGGACTCTCTGGAACTTGGCTAGTCTCAGTGTTCTCATTCCCTATCCATACCTGTTTATTTCTGTAGAGCTGAGATGAGAGCTGATCCTCTTCCCATGAACAGGAGTCCAGGACAGGAAAATTTAAGCCACAGGATGAGTCTATGTAAAAATACAAAACAAGTGAACCTATTTATAACTGTGTGATTAAAAACCCAATGAATGACTTCTAAAGTTTAACAGCTTTAATTACTCTTCTTCCATACAAGAAAAAAAATATGTTTAAAGATTTCAGAAGAAGGAAATAAGCAAGTATGTACACACTGCCTACAAAAGTGGCAAAAGAGATGCACTCTGAAGTGGGCTGAGCAGCTCCTAGGATGTATATGTACTTTCTGGGTAACTTAATAAAGGCTATCTCTTCTGTTCTAGCTCTTCATAGCAGTATTTATTGACCCTACCTTTCCACTTGGCACAATACTGCAGTTCCAATACCCCTGTTAGTGTTTATCATATTTTTTGATTTTTAACATTTGATAGTGTTATGTTTGGTGCCACAATGAAATCCTTTATGGTGATGATGCATTTCCTCCTCTCTCTGTCTTCTTGTGAAATTTGAAGAGCAGAATTTGTTCAGAACTATATTTCATTGTATGATAATGTTTTCTACCATCTATCTATCTATCTATCTATCTATCTATCTATCTATCT